AAAGTTTGGTTGATTTGAAAAAAAGTATCTTGTTAATTAAATAAAAGGTTTGTCTTCATTTTTATCTATTTTTTAGGGGAGGGGGGTTGTTTCTAGTTTTTGCATACTTTTTGTTAAATCAACCAAAATTTCCTTTGTATAACTATAATATTGAGAGGTCTAAGAAAATGTTGTATATGCTATTTTGTTCCAAAAAGGTTCGGAAAGGCAATTTATTTCATTCTCAAGAATTGGTAGAAAGGAACAAAAAACAATTGCACTAAAAACAATTTATATTTATATATATATAAATAATTTTTGCACTAAATTGTTGCCAATCAGTCAACATTACATAAAGGACCGTGATTTTTTACAGAATGTATTCAATAATTGGTTTAAAAGAAAAACATTCTTGAATTCAGTTGAATTCACCATATCGATACCTATCCTTTCAAAAATAAAATTCTGAGGGACTTTTCAACACATTTCTTGACGTCTACTCTGTATTTAATCCATATTGCAGACTATTTTAGGATTTTTAGGACCATTTTAGGAAGTTTTTAGAACTACTCTGGTGTGACCGAAACTTTAATGACCTTAATGAGAGTGATCATTGGATTGGCTTTCATTTGCACGATCATTGGAAGTATGGAACAGCTGAACAGATTGGAACCCTTCAGAGGAGGACATATCCCAAATCTAAGAGATTGACGCATTCGAAGACCAGTCGTAAACTTGAATCATATCCATTAAAATTGTTCTCAGAATTAGTCTTGCTTTATTCTCATAAAATTGAAACAATATTACCGTACTGTTTAGAATTGATGATGTTCGACTGAAATAAACAGAACCATGCCATTTCTACGACAATAGTTTTCTTCAAAGATAGCCGACCAATATATTTCAGTCATGAAAAGTAGTATTAGGATAATTAAAATATGTCCAGGTATGAGGCTTTTAAATACTAGTATAGTACAATGAATATATCTTATATTTTAGATTGTGACGTATCCAGGCGCTCACAACCCAAGGCCGCAATATTACGACATGAGCCAGTCAGCCGGCGGAAGGTTCAGAACTGGCCCGAGATCACGTCCACGCATAGGTAGGCACCAAGGTCCACAACGTAGTGGACGTTTCTTCGTACTGCCAGGAAAGCGTAAGGATACAGCATTAGTAGAAGGCACGTCAAACAACAAAAGACATGATAACTTTCAGAATACAAATACTAATACTTTAAATTCACAGACATTTAATCAAGTTGAAATGACTTTAGAAGACAGAATAATCAAACGACAAATGTGGTTTGAAATGTGGATGAAAAGGCATAGAGATAGAGATAGCAACTGTTTAATTGGCGCTTTAAAAGTTAAACGCAATACGCTAAAAAGCAATTTTAAAGATAATATTCAATTATTTACTCAAAACTTTCGATCATTTACTAAATGTTTGCAGAATATAGCGAAGATATCAGAATGATTCCGATTTATCAAATTATCGAGTCTCTAGCTTGCAGTTAGAAGTGTTCGAGTTGTTGAACTCTTGTTTTTTGAAGTATCGGACAATCTAATTTTGCATTTAACATCTACACATGTAGTAATCAAACAGCACTCTCTCGCAAAATACGCACGATCTGGGTAAAAATCGCACTCTCGGTGTAAAGATAGTAGTAGGATTTTTGGTCCCATCAGCTCAGGCTGCTCAGGCTGTTCATCTAAGACCGGAAGTCAGCCATTTTGAAGCTTTCTAGCAGGAAGTCGGCCATTTTGAATCTGTCTGGGCAAGAGGGTGACATCATAGCGGAAGTGAGGCATCTTTTAGTCGGCCTGGGCAGGTTTTAAAGCGGATGTTAGCCATTTTAGGTTTTGTCCGGGCACGTTTATAACATCATAGCGGAAGTTCAGCCATTTTAACTTTGCCTGGGCAAGTGGATCATAATTTTGGCAGGAAACGTAAAGGTAGCCATATTGGTAGCCCTACGTTTATATCATATGAATAAGGATTACGATGGCATTGGTCTCACTCGAATCATGAATACATTATGCAAAATCACTTAATAGCTCTTGATGCGTCTATATTCAGGAATCTTTAGTTAAAATTGGGTAATTTATAGAGTCTCATTTTTAATTTTTGACCAATCCTCCTTACCTCTTCCCACCTCTTCCTTACTTCCTCCCACCTCCTCTCTACCTCCTCACGCTTCCTCCTTACCTCCTCCCACCTCCTCCCTACCTCATCATTACCTCCTCCTTACCTCCTCCAACCTCTTCCTTACCTCCTCCCACCTCCTCCCTACCTCCTCCTTACCTCATACCTCCTCCTACTTCCTCCCAACCTCCTCTTGCCTCTTCTCCATCTTCCAAATCTCCTCCCCTCCCTTTACTTTAATATACAATAGTTTATAATGTCATAAATACCTGTTTATGTTTACAATTGATCTTAATTGACACATTTTGAACCAATCCAAATACTGCACATTAGAATATTCTTATATATTTTAAGTTGTCCATGTTTTGAGTCATTTTACTGATAGATCTTGAACAGACAACATGTCTTTCAATTGTTCTGAGTGTAGTGTGAATTTTACGAGAGGTGATAACCTATCAAGGCATATGAATAAGTTTCATGGAGAAAAAATGCATCAGCATAACATCAGACTGTTCATCAGACATCAGAATAATCCTTATTCATATGATATAAACGTAGGGCTACCAATATGGCTACCTTTACGTTTCCTGCCAAAATTATGATCCACTTGCCCAGACAATCTGGAGGGGCATTGCTATATTTATGCGGATGACACTTCTCTACATCATCCTTTTGACCCTAAGCATCCTCAAGAAGTAGATGCAATAGCCAGATCTAACCTAATTAAAATTGAAAAATGGTCTGACACCTGGAAATTGGAGTTTAAACCTGAAAAGAGTTCTGAAATGATATTCCACTCATCCAGATCTAAAGTCGATAATGTTTCTGTTTCAAAGTTAAACAATGTTGAAATTACCAGAGATCACGAGCACAAACATCTGGGATTTACTTTTGACCCAAGCTTATCATATGACAAGCATATTGGAGAAATCATATCAAAAATACGAAAAATGTTGAACCCTTTAAAGAAACTTAAATATAAGTTAGGTAGTAAGCATCTAGAAACCATATTTAAGTCCTTTATTTTACCCCACTTTGACTATGGTGCTATCATGTACAGCACAGCCTCAAAGTTCCTATTACAACGACTCGACAGTCTTTATTATAAAGCTGCACTTTATTGTTCTGGGTGTATCCAAGGGAGCAGTTCAAAAAAGGTTTTAAACCTACTCAATTGGCCAACTCTTGAATCAAGACGCAGTATCCAGATTAACAACTTTATGTTCAAAATTGTAAATGGTACAAGTCCTCCCTATGTAACTGATATTTTTGACAAATTTAGAAACCATGCAAACAGAGTATTAAGATATAATGAAGCATTTAAAATGCCCATTAGATGCTCAAATAGATTCTCCACCTCAGCAATACCAGCTGCAATTTCAAATTGGATCAATCTTCCACCTGCTATTAAATCTAAGAATACTCTTTCGAATTTTAAAAAACACCAAAGAGTACATTTCCAAAAAACGCCCTCGATTTTGTCAACAAGCCAGCTTAATCTAACAAGGGTTCAAGAAATAGTTCTCAATAAAGTGAGAGCTGACCTATACTTCAAAGCCCAGTTCTACGCTCACAACTTTCAGTCTATTGACAGCCCTAATTGCACTTGTGGAAAACCACAAACTCTGAAACATTTTCTCTTTCAATGTGACTTACTTACTATACAAAGACAGCAATTCATGGACAAACTCACTGATCTCGAACCAAACATCTTCAGTCATAATCTCTCTCAAACTGATTTCATAGCTATTTTGAAAACAGGAATTCCCAAATTAAACATAGATGCAAATTCCCAAATACTACTTCTCATTGTTAATTTTATCAAAGACAATAGCTAATTCCCTCCTTCTTATCCATCTCTAGTATCCTCAAGTCCCGTCACACTTGCCCTAGTCCAAGACCCTGCCTGCTCTGCCACTTCTACTTCCACCTGCCCCCTATTCTTATATAATGCCATTGTGGCGATTTAAGAATTTACATGTTTGTATTTACATTTTTTGGTATTCTATTGAAATAAATTTAATAATAAAAAAAAAAAAAAATAGCAATCAACATGTTCATTAAAGCTTTGAAATAAAGAATACTTGAAAAAGTAGCGGTGAAATTGACACGTGTATATTCAAGAAAAAGGGGCCCTATCCAACATTGACTGGTTTAATGCGTTAACTTTGTTGTTAATATCTATGACCTTTACATCAGATAATAAGTGACTGAACTATGTTCAATAAAAGTTTGGTGCATTTTAGAAGAAAAATGAAGGTTCTGCGTTCACTTAACAAATGTTCCAATTTTTTTTGGACCACCCTGTATATATTAAGAATGGGTTAGGAGCATCATTAAACACGAATCAATTGATATTTTAGGTGAAATAAATATATGTGTTGCTTTGTTTGAAAATAGGTGAATGACGTAAATTCGCCCTATTTTAATGAACTTTGAAAACCTTTCGTCCTCCACTTTTCCAACAGAAAACACATACGTTTACGAACAAAATCAACTATTTATTAATAAACTAGAGTTTATGAGCAAAATAATCATGTATGATTTATTAAAAATTGATCTCGTATTTTTTGTATTAGACCTGAAAAGTTGAAGGTAACAAAAATGAGCAAAAAAGTCGCTGTCGACAAATTCTATTTTTCAAACTATATGCCGTCACAATAAGGGACGCTTATTAGAATTCATCCTTTGAAATAACACTTCTACCTTTATCAAGACGGAAATAAAGTATAATAGTCAAATATTGTTTGAGTTATGAGCGTTTAAAGACGAAAAATTATTCAAAATGTAACGTGTCGACAGCGGATATTTGCCAGATTTTTGGGTAAATTAAAGTTACATTCATGCAATACCCTAAAAACACAAATGCGCCACCTTTTTGCGACGTGTCTGTTAGAAGTGTCAAGATAACGGTAAACCACTTGGTCTAGAGAGGTAAGAACAATCGAAACCTTGTGAATCAAGATAACGGAAAACCACATCGTCGCTTTCCACTTGGTCTAGAGACACGGCAATATATGCAACCGTATTTCGTAATGTATTTTCATTTCTTGATGTATTACATGTAGATTAGAGTGCAAAGATTTAACGCAGTACATTTTACATTATTATTCATTATCGATAGCAAAATAACCCAGTCAATTAACAACCTAGCCTGAATACTTGTCCGATGCCATAGTTGCTAACCACATGCGGATCTTGCTTTGAATTATTTTCAGTCTCTCCCTTTCTGCCACAGACATCTTATTTTCATCATTAGTTGCAACCAGTTTCTTTAGCTCTTGCTTGATTGCAGCTTTGGTCATGCCCGTATTAAGTTTAACAAAATGTTCACCTCTATTTCCCATTAGACCGACAGGTCTTTCAATTGCTACTCTCCTTGCCCTCAATGTTTTAAAGTCAACCTTTCCCGCTTGCTGGGCAGCGATTCTTTCGTTCCTATGTTGCTCAGCAAAAAACAATGGTGTCGAAGGCCGACCATTGCGAGAGTGTTTATCGAGTTGATGAGCATGGGCATTCTGTAAAAGTTCTAATCTGACATCATCTGTTTTCTTACTGTTTCTATCACCTGTTGTATTTTTGTTTGTAGCTACTTGAAGACATTTTGAGTACAGGGCTAGGCGTGACCATGGTGAACGCGAAGCTGTTGAAGAGGGGTTCTTATCAGGATAATTTACATAAGACGATGGTAAAGTCGGACAACTTCGATCTAATTCTGGCGAATTACTCACGAAACCTAATGAGATGTTGTTATTATAGATAGCAATATCGGGTGATATTGGCCTTGGCTGTTCATTTAGTTGAGAGTTACATAATACTGATGATATTCTTAATTGAGATGTCGCACTAGTAAGCTCATTAGGAGGTAATGCTGTTGACGGATCGCACCTAATTGTTTCTCTTGTCGATGGATGAGTGCCAGGGTTCATACAAATGTCATCTGATGCACTCAAAGTTGATTTACCTCCTGTTGAATCATATTCTATTTTTGCAAGCTTTTCCTTTTGGTTTTGTAATTCTCCTGAGTGAAGGTCCGAGAGAACAGACTCGCACTCAGAAACATCATCTTGATCACTTTCACCGTCAAATCTTTTTAAAAAGGTCTGAGAAGTTTTGTTATGAATAATACCACTCACAATTTGATGAAGCTGTGGTAAAACCTTTGGTTGCAATTTTGAATTCGTATATTCATATTTCTTATCGAATATATCTTTTTCGACCTTGTTCCTTATATCGGTCCATTTTGACTTCGTTTTCGTGTTTTCAGAATCTGTACATGTATCATTAGCATGTGATAAAGATGTATCACCCATTTTATCTCCTTGTGAAACATCTCCAGGTAAAGGTGTCGGTAAGGGTTTCCCCGAAGCTTTCAAACCAATTGTTAAGGGCTCTTTTCCGTTATTGGAAGTTTCGATTTCATTTTCTTCATCTATTGTTATCGTTTTAGAGTTATCAGTCGTTTTAAGAGGCGTGCGACTTTTTGGAACTGTCAAACCATTGTCAACGATGTTTGGGTCAGAATGAACCTCACATGACTTTTTTGCTTTCTTCATTTTTACAACAGATCTTTTCCAAATGTCATATGTCTCTTCAAAAGTTAAGGAATCATTGTTTCCAACAGGTTCTGTCATCTCACCTTCTTCTTCCTTTGCCATCTTCTCCATTGTAAATAACTGATAGGCTGGTACAGATCGCATTTCCGCATAATGTTGTAAAATCTTCTCCTTTGTCATTGATTTAGGTCTGATAGATTTTGCAGATGAAACATGAAGTTTTTGATGTGTTTGCCTGCGTAATATGTTTCCTCTATTAGGATTTATGTCATGGTTATACGCACTGGCAGCACTGACGCCTGGAAATGCACTTTTACATCTGCGTTTGGGATTGTCTAGGCTATCAGCGGTCGGAATACCACATGCACTATGACCAGTTGTTTGCCGAATAGTTTTTACCCAATCCTTAAGGTCCTTCAACTCATCCGTTTTACGAAATCTCGTGACTTTTTGTGAAATTGTTAAATCTATCAAATCTTTCTTTAACTTTGCCTTCTCTCCTTTATTCTTCAATTGCGCGAAAACTTCATTTTTTGTCCATGTTTTTTCCTTCTTTTCTTGCTTTCCCATGTTTATGCTGTGGCATGCATTGTCAAACTAAACTCCATAAGCGTGAAATCGGTAGTGGATTAAAGATCTCAGAGACATTGTCTGTGTATTTTAGTTTCGCCATGTGTACTATGATGTTCGAAATCAATAGATTGTTGTGACCTGGAATAAAATACATGTTTATTAAAATCAATTATTTCAATAATTAACATACACCGGTCATAATTATAGGGTATTTGTATCAATTTACTATAAATATTATTTATTTGAATGTGCTCTAACATTTTTACATCGTTATAAGGGAAATTTTCCCAAAAGGGATAAAAGAGATGAGAGTTACGTTTCAAGAAACATCGGCGCAATGTATTCTGCTCTCATCCATTCATACATGTCATATCATGCCCTTGATATGAATTTGGACATTTCTGCAATCCTTCACAAACTCATTTGATCAGATTCCAGTTCTCTTTTTAGAAAATAAAATTCGAATTGTAGTAATGGTAATAAAGAGATTGCCTCTGACGTTGTACACTATCAGCCGCTCGTAATTCCTCCAACCGCCGCCATTTAATGTTATATACTACCTCCTCCTCATCATAAATCAAAATTGATGTTTTGTAGATTTTTATTTCTTCATTAATATGTACGAAACGCCTATTTTACTAATAGCTTGTAGAGAGGGCATGTGGAAAACACTTAAAACACATATGTATACTGCAATTATGATATGGTATGAATAGTTAGAATAAAAATGAATTTAGTTTAGTGTTCCATAACTTTTTATCAATACAGAAGAAAATGCATCTATTTGTTAAAATTAATTTACCTCACCAGTTCCTCTGAAGGTGCTTCCCTGGTAACTGCAATCAGGTGTTTCTTACACTATTAGTGCAACAAAGATCGAGCGCTTTAAATGAATCAATAAGTTGGTATTGAGAACAGTTGTAACAGTTTAATAAACAAATGTTTACACTGCCCTGGCACTATACCATTTTGAAAGTAATCTAAATAATCTATTGTTCCTTTCAACGTTAAACTAAATAAATGTTAATTCAGGTCTACGAAACATTTGTCTGCCTTAAAACGCAAGTCTATTCAGAGGAATGTTAACGACCTTGACAATAATGCTTTTTGACACTTTTGACACTTTTTAGCGATTGGTTTCATTGTGTTATGTTTGTTTGGTATGACCTGTGGAGTAATCATATTTACAGATAAATACGAAATTCGATCTCATGGTGAATCGACCCTGTCTTGTAAGTGTATCTATGCATTGTTCCTTTAAATACTATATCCCCAGGACTATATCGCCAAAGTCGTTATCCCTAAAAATCTGCTCTGGTCGAGACAGGGTGGACACACTTGAACTAGATATTTTAGTCTAATCTTCTAGTTATAAAACTAATAATTAAAACAAACAAAAAATTATTTCCAGAAACCCACCAAGATTCCTTATTATGACGTTCCTCATACAAAGTATTACTTGGTAAAACGCCGGAGCTTATACAGTACTAGAGCAGATCAAATATCCCACGGCGCCAAGAAATATTTAAAATATCATAAAATAAAGGAAATAAAACCATCTTTCGGTGTGTTGGACGTCTGCACCGTTTTCAATAACTTAGATCAGAACTAGCTTCCAATAAAGTTCTTGCAGAAGAACGTTTGATTCAATCAGCCACGACATTTGGTCACTATTTGAGTGCTTCATTTTCTCTGATGATTAAGTACACATTGCCATCTATTCAAAAGCTTTATAGCCACGGTTCTTTTCAATCCACAAACGACAAATTTCGTTTATACTAGGGTATACATTACAGGAAAACATTTGATTTCAGGAGGAAATCGGAACGTTTTATCAATATTTGGCACGTTTAAACGAATATTTGGTTAAATGTTATATCAGCCATGTTCAGGTTTCACCAGGCCCAACCGCCCATAAACAAGAGCGCCAGTGATACTGTATTTGATTTGTATTCTTATTTGCGTTTCTACCCTTGAGATTCAAAATATTATGGCATAAAAACTAATATGCCATCCGAGTTCTATTTGCCTTCTGTTTACTTTCATGTCCTATCCGTTTCTTCTTTACCTGAGTTCTTGAAGAATGAAAGTAGATACTAAGTGCCCCACCCATGCTTGTACCATCCTCAAGTATTCATTATAAGTTGCTTGTCGAGTGATTTGTCGGAACTTCATCCAACGGATTTTCGCAATATAGAGGTAGGTTTACATTTGTTAAGTGTTACCCATGTGCATTGCTCAAGATACACATTGGTAGGAATATATATTGCATAAGTTTTACACAGGTGCGAATATATATATTGCTAATTATACACACTAATGAGAATATTTATCGCCGAGGATACAGCACACTGGTGAGAATATGTATTGCTGAGGATACATCCTGGTGAGAATGTATATTGCTGAAGATACACACTGGTGAAATTTTGAACTGATACAGATACACACTATTGAGAATATGTAATGCAGACTAGATTTTCTACAGGTGAGAATATGTATTTATGAGAATACACATAAGGATGCATACTGGTGAGAATATGTATTGCCGAGGATGCTTACTGGTAAGAATATATATTACAGATGAGAATATATATTGCTGATTATACACGCTGGTGAGAATAAGTATTGGTTAAAATACACACGAGTGAGAATATATATCGAAGGTTCACACTGGTGAGAATATATATTGCAGAGGTTTTACACAGGTATGATTGTATGTTGCTGATTTTACACACTGGTGAGAATATATTTTGCTAGAGATACACACTGGTGACAATATATATCGCCGAGGATACATGCACACTGGCGAGAATATATATTACTGATTATACACATTGGTGAGAATATTGCTGGTGAGAATATGCATTGATACATACTGGTTAGAATATTCACTTCAAACATAATAAAATGCATGCATTTTAAGGATTTAAGATTGTAAGGAATAAATTGGTATGTCAACTTTACGTGTTGCTTGCAATTTTGTCACTCCCTATAGATCTGATTCTGCCTTAGGATCTAGCTAATTAGTGTGTGCCAAAACCCCAGAAAATCACAAAAACCTATGTTGTGGTAGCTTACTATGAAGTGACCCATTATCATTATAGATTGGTCCATCAACTATTCATTTTTACTTGTCTGCACTCAAAAAGGTGACACGAAAGGGCTAAACGGCTTGCACCAAGGTGCAACCATCAAAAAGATGAGTTTGATAAAAAATTTTTTTTTTCAAATAATAGCAATGGGTATACAATAAAGGAGGCAAATTTGATATTGATAAGTATGATAGTCCATTTGCGTGTGGCCATTTTTATAAAAAACAATAATTGTGAAGAATTATATATTTCTGACCTGAAAATACCATATTTATTCAAAAGTCATGGTTGTTAATGATAATATTCCTATTTCACCTATTCAATGTTTTCAAAATATTTTGATTACCATTATATTCATTTTTGGCAAAGTAAATAAATATAGGGCTCACACAAGGATCAACTTTATTTGCAATATTTTCATATTTAGTGATGTTTTGAAAAAATATAAGGTTAAACACAATTTTATTTGTTAAATGTTTAACAAAATAAACAGATTGTGTTTATTTCATTGTTTTGACTGAAAATCGCAATTCATTGCTCTTCCTCTTAGAACGGCAGGGGATATACAAGTACATAAACAGTCTTAAAAAACGTTGATCCTTGTGTAAGCCCTACACTTATTTACTTTGCCAGAAACTGATATAATGGTTATTCGGTGGTATGAAAATCATTTCAGAGGTAAAATAGGAAGAATGTCTTTGAACTTGGAATAAAAAGCATTATATGGTTAGAAATACCCAATTTTTACCATAATTGTTTTTAATAATATAACCATACCCTCATGGACTATCTTTACATTTCAATAACCAATGTGCATTATATTTTGCATGTTTTACTGCAATTATTTGTAAAAATATTTTTAAATCTTACATTTTTGACTGGAAAGTGAAGAGACAATACTCAAATATACTCATATTATTGGTCACATTTGGTTATTTCACCCAAACAAATTCGGGATTTTTTAGTCCAGGCATATGAAGACACTAGTGTGAATTAAATGGTCATATTATACAATACAATACAATACAATACAATACAATACTGATCCAATTCAGAATTACTAGAGAAAGTAACTCTCGTGGCTGTTGATTACTGATTGCAGTCATTAAACTAATGACCTCATATTTGGATGTCCTCTCTTCCGATATGATTTTACAATTCACTTCAAATTGGCAAAGGACCAGGTATAGTATGGCAAGTGATATCTGATCGTCATATATTTTACCATGACTACTTTCTCAATATAAATATGACATTTCTCAAAAACACAATATGTTATCTTTCAAGAAAATTCAATTCTCAATGATTATAAAAATATCATTCAAACAATCTAAAAAACTATGAATGGGGAACCCTTCTCAACATTTTTTGAAATTATTTACTCAACCTAGGTTCTTCTTTTTTATTTGAATTGCATGAAAATATTATTCAACAAGTGATCTAAAACTTTTTCATTAGTAGAATTGTAATGAAAGTCTAGTTTTGGAGATATTAATTTTCAATGACCACAATTATGTTGAAAACAATGGAAAGTTTGAGTTTTTCCAATGGAAAATAACACGGAACTTATGGTTTTTAACTTTATCGCATTTCAATACCCGTCCCCTTTTCAGAATTTGTTAATTCATTAACTTTTGATATATTCGAATTAAGAAAAAATACTTTAGAAAATAAGCCTAATATTTTTCAAAAAGTGACAAGGTGGGGATCTTATCAATAATATTTCAGATATATTTTCAAATATTTATATTTTCAATTTCAATTTTTTGATACATTCAAGCATTATTACGAATGTTATTAATAACAGGTGGCACCACATTTGATGCTTATACCCGTACATATAGTAGTAAAATCATGTAGTGTATCATTAAGTTGTCAAGTAATCAAACCAGAATAAAATCATAAAAAATAAGTTGAAAAATAAAGGTTGAGGGGGATTCATGATGTTTTTTTCTTTTCAAGTGAAGAAGTTGGATGATATCATTTTTATCACAGGGACTTTACATAAGAAAAATCATATTGTTTTCACAAAAACACGTTCAGCCCCAAAACGCCAAATACTAATTAGATATTGAGCTATGACCTTGAAATGATCTTGATCCATAAACATTGACTTATAGATCTCTGGTCATTTTATCAGTGGTCATTAAATAGGACTGTAGCCCCACATTTGCCAACAACTTAGATATTGACCTTGAAATGACCTTGAAACCAGGTCACCTAATCATTGGTCTCCAAAGGTCACAATTGTTCTCAATTGCCTTTAAACTCCTAATTGCTAGATATTGACCTTGGAAGTCACCCTATCATGAGTCGCTAGGGGCAACAGCAGATACCAGGGCCTTAATACACCAAATACTTAGATACTGATATTTGACCTTGAAATAACCTTGACCTCAGGTCACACATTCATGATTCACAAAACGCCAAATATTTAGATATTGATGACCTCGAAATGATCTTGACCTATAGACCTTGACCCTGACAACAGGTCACCTAATAATCGGTTGTCAAGGGTCAGAATTGTTCTCAATTGCCTTAAAACACCAAATTGCTAGATATTGACCTTGAAATTACCTACACCCATTCAGTTGATCTTTACCTCAGGTCACATAATCATCGGTTGTGAAGGGTCACACCATCGGCAAAATGTCTTAAAATGCCAACTATCCAAGATATTGATATTTTAAACTTGAAATTACCCTGACTTTTGACCTGTGTTGAATACACATTTTATGAACAAAACATAGTACGAAGTTGAAAACTGATCTTTTTGAAATGAAATTGCTGCTAATGTTTCAAAACTAAGGTATCTTTATTGCAAAAGTACTATTCAAATTGAATAAACCAAAAGAGATAGACTTAAATTATCTAATGTTCCATCAGATTTAGTAAAATTATAACTCTTAAGTAAATGTTGCAATATATGCTCACACATATCTTGTTGTATATCAATCTAGTGCAACTGCTACAGGTATCACTCTGACACGTATCTGTGAACAAATCAAACTTCTTTGATGTTGATGTAATGCAAATTGGTATCTTTTAATATGACGTCCGTAAGATAAACCATCAATACTAGGATTGTCAAAACTTGCATTAATAAAATCAATTCCCGTCTCATCACTATCACACCCATTACTACAAGATGATGCCTCTTAGATCACTGTCTGCAAGCTATAAACTAAGTGATGCACTATATGCTCGTAATACTTTTTTATTCAAAATCAAAAGTCAATGATACTATTCCTATTTTTTATATATCCGAATAACCATTATATATGTTTTTGACAAAGTAAATAATTGTAGGGCTCACACAAGGATCAACTTTTTGAAGACTTTTTCGTACTGGTGTAGACTCTCCTGCTTGCGAAGCAAGGGCGATGAATTGAGATTTTTCAGTCGAAACAAGAAAACAAACATATAATTGTTTTTTCTTCAACAAATAAAAAATAAAATTGAGTTTACCTTTGTATTTTTTCAAAACATCACTTATATGAAAATGCTATGAACAAAGTTGATCCTTGTGTGAGCCCTATAATTATTTACTTTGTCAAAAACTAATGAAATGGTTATTGGTATATTTAAAAAACACTGACTATATAAAATAGGAATAATATCCTTGACAACAGTAACTTTTTAATAGAAATCGCATTTTAAGGTCATAAATATCCAATTTTTTACCATAATTGTTTTTCATAAAATTACCACATCCGAACGGACTATCATTACACATTAATATCAAATTTGCATCTTATTTTGTATACTTACAAGTATTATTTAAAAAAATGTATATTTTTCAAACTCATCTTTTTGACGGTCGCACCTTGGTGCAAGCCGTTTAGCCCTTTCGTGTCACTTTTTTGACTGCAGACAAGTAAAAATGAATAGATAATAGATCAATCTAAAATGACTATGGGTCAATTCATAGTAAGCTACCACAACATAGGTTTAGCCTAACTAAGCCACTTAGAAAGCAATTTGGCACACACTAAATATTGCAATTATAGTTTCTAAATGTCCTTTCTAAATCGACGATTAAATCAATTACACATTGTCTGTTGACCGTGTTTGGTTACCGCTACCATCACCGCTATCATCTTATTCCTTTCCCACTTTGCCATTTTAACAATGCTACAAATGACGTCATTTTTGCTTTTAATGTTGTCCGTCTACGAAGGCTAATTGTCTTAACGTCATCTTCATTATCATCTACCATTTTGTCAAGTTCACGTTTCATGGCTGCCTTAGAAGTTGACAACTGAACCTTTGTATTCAGTCTCATCAGAGGCGGGGCTTCTTTCATCAAATCTCGTTTCCAACGGGACACTCCGTGCTCCTGACTCATGTTTTCTAAATTAGGCTTTTTTGTGTCTTTGTCTCCCTCTTCGTCAGAGTCATCGAGTTTGGCCAATTGTGAGAAGGAAAGTTGTTTCGGTTTTGAAGTAAACATTCCTTTGAACAGTGAACCCCAACCAGGGGTATTGTTTGCCTCTTGTATTTTATTTTCCTTTGCATTATGAAAGGCTGAGTCGACGGCCTTGGCCCATCTCGGTCTCGTTTTGGTGGTTGATAAAGATGATTTTATTTGGTCTGAAATATTAGTTTGGTCTATTATTTTATTTATCACAATATTTTCACTTTCGCATGTTTGTTTCGGTTGAGTGAAATTTGTGATTGACTTTTGACTTTGGGAAGTGTTCAAGTCGCAGTTATACTTTTGGGATGGTGTTTCAGAGTTTTGTTTCACCTTTTTAGAATTTGCAATTTCATAGTTCTGATCAATGTAGTTATCGTTCCTCAATTTCTTGTCTGACGTTAAGTCACCTCCAGTTGTACCGTTATCCCGCTGAGCACTATGGGAATCAGAATAATCTATACTACCTTCATTATTAGTATCATCAAGGAGGTTTCTGTAACATGCATGGACAGCAGCTTCGTCATCAAATACTTCGTCAGTAGAATTTATGATAATAAGACGATGAGGTGATTTCCTTGATTGCATAATCTGCGTCTCATCGTGGAAGACCTGCTTTGATTCACCATTATCCTTTTTGAAGGTGGAGTTACATTTGGCCATTGAGGATTTTGGCCGTTTCTTTTGTTGCACTGGTTTGTCCTGACATTTGATGGAACGGGAGTAAGATGAGTGTGGCCTCAATGAGTAAGATGTTGGTGATTTCGCCATGGCTCTTTTGCTAGAGTCCTGTGTTGAATGCTCAATCAATGATTCCGTAGGGCTACTGTTAGAATTTGTTCGATGAGTAGTATTTGTAACGCTTGAGCTATACGAGTCAAAAAGCGTGCGTTCCCATTGTTTAATAGATTCTTTTCTACACCTGTTTTTCCCGTCCATAGATTTTGCTGGAATATTTTCTGGAGTTTGAAATAATGATATTTGAGTTGGAGCACTTTCAAGAATATAACCGTCTATATCTATGCTACTAAATGAAGAGCCAGTGCTGCTCTGCCTATCTTTCATCATTTTAGTTACCCTTAACGACAGTTCATGGAACGTTTCGTGATTCTCTTTCTCTTTGTCTTGATCTTGGATCATGCTTACAACAGAAATAAGATTTGCCAATGAGCTCCTCGATGTATCTTTAAGATGCTGATTCTCACGCTTCATTATCTTCTCCAGCTGCTTCTCCGTTGTCTTCCACTTTGTAAGCCGTTTTTCAGTAGGACGATAACGGAAATAATCACTTTTCAGATGCGTGTTGTCTTTAGCATTCCTTGGGGGTTTTCCCTCTATACTGGTCCCAGTTGTTCTTTTAACACCAACCATTGTCTTATGTAGCTGTTTGCTCATTTTAGTCACTCCATGCCTTGCCGTTAGGGATTCGGTATCCAGTGATTTTAGTTTGGTTTCTAAGTAAAATAGCTCTAGCTTGTTCTTCCTTTGCGCCTCGTCGACTTTGTCGGATTGTATGATGGCATCCTTCCCGGGTAACTTAGGCATATTATGATAATGTATTAGCGAGGTATGCGTCAGCTGAAAATGTACAATAACACCATTTATCAGAAAGAAGAAAAAATTAAAACAACAATAAAAAAAATCTTCTCGAGTTAAGGATAAGAATAAAATGTCAGGTGTCTGAATGTAATGATTATTTGTCCAATACGCTGCCACATTTTGCATCACTTCCAAAAGAAACAAAATATATTGCCAACATATTACAAGTACGGTTGGCGTAAGTCTCACCATCATCTAATTCTAAAGATTGAATCACAACCATCGACAAATTATAAATAAATCACTAATACTGTATATTCTTGATTATAAAATATGCTGAACAAATAAGTTGGTACAAGTTGTGCAAATTTATATAACATTCTCTTTACAGGTTGGTCATCAAACATTCCAGTACATCATCTATTTGAGATTAGATCTCGCCAACTAATATTAGTTACAAATGCGTGAAGAAATGGAACATTCGATACGATACTGAAGCAAATATTAGCTTGAAATGGAAAAATGCCTACATGCTAATTTTATGAATCGTACTTGTTAAGTGGACTCTAGACAAAATTAAAATTCTAAATATACAAGAGTAGACAGTATTTAATACGAACGCAATGTTTTTTGAGACCAATATAATATCATAGTTTCATCTTTTTATGACAAACTGAGACAATTGTGGTGACGACTAGCTATGGTAGTTATATGAGTAAATAATTTGGACGACAGCCATATATTGTACATTGTTCTTTCTTTGGACGTTTTCATGCAACACGGCAACATGATATAATATTCACACATATAGAGAATTAGTGACATTACTTACCCCCGTCAATTTCATAATATGAGGTTGGCACTTGACTTTAAAATTGAAACCGATCTTCTAAACAAGTGTATCAAAGTTAAAGAAAACATAATGACATACAAAAAGAGAGAATCTGTTAAAAGGTAATGCTGGAAGACGATAAATAAACAAGTAAAACATTGATTTGTAAGAGTACAAAATATGCGTTTTTATATGTTGGACCTTGAGCTCAATTTCAAGTAAAGTAACAACGAGTGATGGATTTCATCCGCATTTGTTTGATGATCTCAATAAATATGCACATGTCTCCATCACCTACCAGAGGGAACGTTGATCAAACATTCGAAGCCTATGTTCTATTTGCACTGAGATCCAAATATACATCTTTTACTTCATGATTAGTATCTATAGGTACAGTACGTTTGTTTACATGCATGTCTTAATTGACACTCTTGTTTCATTGCTTCATTACTGCTTATTTGTTCACAATACTTCCCGATGATCCGCTGTATCTGAATTCTCAGCTCATTAGTGCAACACATACCTTCTGAATGAATTTATTGCGTCGTTTAATTACTGCACACAATGCATTATGTAATGTCACATTAAATGAACCTGTAAGTCAGTTTTTCACATTAAATGAACCTCTAAGTCAGTTTTTTCCGAAGTAGCATTTTCACTTTTCAGCATACAAAGTGATTTTACTACGAATTGTAGCTGTGGACATTGGGCCCAGTTTGAACCCATTCCTTTGTCATTCCATTGACAAATATCCACTTCCTGACACATTCTGAGAACACATTTTGTTTATATTTGACCAGTGTATGTTCTCCCCTAAATTGAGAGGAACAACTATTGTAACGATCATGTATACGCCGGATGCGTGACCATGGTAATGACTTCTCAGGGAACATTATACACAAATAGTATGGTGATCGAAGGAGAAAATGTAGCTTGCATTTGTATTTAAAACACCCCTATATCAGTATGCGAGTCGATGAAACGAGTTTCATAATACCTCTACTGATAATGTAAAGGGGTCCTCGGAGAAATATTCACTTGAAGCGATAATTATTATGGGTACCTTTTTTCGTTAGAAGTGATTTGATGATTTCCATGATTCTTGACGGTGGACTTAAAACCCAGTAATCTTTAAATGCAGTAAATGCACTGTACGTTGTCCCCGTAATTGAAATTCATGGGATATAATATGAAACAATGCAATGATTTAATTACAAAATGCAATAAAGTTTTTATGAGTAACATGTGATTTTTAACGAAAATGTTCAAGTATTCAAATTGAAGTAATATTGCAATTATTCAGTTTTAAATGCATCTGAGCCCTCCGCCCGTTAGTGTTATGAAAAATACGTTTCCTGCATTAGGGTTAATTGTGAATTGAGTAAGTTCAATGGGTCAACGTACATTCGAATTGACAACGTACATTTATGATTTTTTAGATTATAGCTAACGTTAATATTTATTAAATCTTCAACCGACCATAATTGTGTAGTTTAGAAAAACATATTCTCATAAAAATATTCGTCACTTTCAGACGACAGGGGAGGAAATGATCAAAGGAAATGTGTAAAAACATTTTCCAACCGACCAATTTATATGGGTAACATATGATTAACAACGAAAAGGTCAAGCACCGTTCGAAAATCTTTTAACGTTATTAGAAAGTTACATGTCTCCCCAAATGAATACACACGAAATCAAACATGAAATGATTAATGAATTCCTCAGATATTTTTTTTAAAACCTACATCAAACCTACATCATTGTCTTTGCTTCTAAACGGTGAATATTAACAACGTACATCTAAAGTGTATGACACTATATTTTGTCACTGTACGTTGTCAATGGGTAGGCGTGATTTGTGGCACTCGGGATAGTTCTTTGAAATATATTCTATATTTTTCTTCTTTCAAATAGCATGTAGATCTGTATATCCCCAGCATCCATCAATGTTATAATTTGTACAGTAGATAGCTCCATGTATATAGGTGGCAGTGTTTTGAGACATTGTAGTCAAGACTGGCAGCAGTGTTACCACCTCATTTTTAAGGAAACGTGGCCCTCTGGATTGAATGCTAATGGTCGAATGGGTATTTCATGTATATGTCAAAATATGTAGCAAGTTGTAACAATAAGACTTGAATCAACCTCCAGAATTGAACAAGCTCTTATATTTTATAATAATTTAAACCACGGTCTCTTTCTCCTCCACTGTGATTTATTCAACCCAAGTTCAATGGAATTGTTGATTAAACCAAGGTAATGTTGATTAAACCACAGAGTAACTTTGCCTTATGCAAAGTATGCTAATAAATGCTAATATAACATATGCTAAAAGATGCTGATGGCAATGCTAACGCTAACTGAAGCTAACATATGCTGCCAACTAATGCTAACAGATGTTAATGCTAAATAATGCTGCTAATGCTAATGTTAACTGATGCTAATGGCAAAATATGCTTATGGTAATTCTAACATATGCTAATGCTCACAGATGCCAATGATAATGCTAACAGATGCTTATGCCCAAGGATGCTAATGTTAATTGATGCTTATGCTAATGCTATCAGATGCTAATGCTAACTAATGCTAACAGATGATTATGCTAACAGATGCGAATGGTATTTGCTAACATATGCTAATGCTAACAGATGCTAATACTGAATAATGCTAACAGATTCTAATGTTAATGCTTACACGTGTTAAAGCGATTTGTAAACGACTGAATAACAAAACAATATTTTACTTATTTATTTCATTATCATCCATATCATTCATTATATACATATTATTTCAATCGACCATCCTTGCTTGGAAACCGGGAGGTTTGCATAAGAATGTCTGTTTCTTTCATGTTTTAGTTGTGTTTTGTTGTGTCTCTTTAGATGGTTCGTATTCTTCATATTTCATATCTTCACGATGACGTTTCAGTTGCAATTGTACCTTTGCCCTGTCGACAACTGCAGCCATGGGTGAAATGATTTGAATTGGTTTAGTATCTACTTTAATGTTATCTATGCATATCCATCCTCTCCCAAATTGTTGTTCTCTTATCTTATTTTGTCTGCTTGCTTTGAGGATCCTTCTCCTCATGATCTGGATTGTCTATATACGGTACTAATTTCACGATTTTTGTTGATGTGTATATATCAAGTGTGAGGGTTGAAATGAAGGATTTGAATGTTTCGCTCAATATATCTCATCAACATCTGATGTCATGATATTCTTAGAAACTGATGTTATGAAATAATGTAGTTCTTGTTGTTCTTGACCATTCCAGATTAGCAAATCAAACGATTATTTATATTCTAAGAATATATTTTTCTGTCATTCTTCTAGATCCTTCCAGAATAATGACTCATTGCAGTAATCTGTTTTACAAATGTTTTGGAATTCTTCCAATAATTTTGGAAACTGAGGTGTCTAGATGATGTATAATGATTTTATTATTACGCTAGTCACTATTACATGATGATATAAATCAAGATGACGGAAACATGATGGATTTTATGAAAATGATATTTTTTCAAAAAATTGCCGTGCTTTTTAGAAGATTTGAGAAGTTCTAGATCGTGTTCAGAAAAAATGTTTGGAGGGAGCGTTACTAGAGACATCTCTGCGTAACATGGACTATATTTCTATGAGAAAAACGGTCATATTCTGTCAAAACCTTGAAATTATACAAACTAAGTAAAAAACACGTCGTCTGGTTCAATTTGTACGATGTGTTGAGAATGGGGTGTGATTATGCAATTGACTTGCACAGCAGGCAGTTCAAAAACGCAGCCTTAATCTGAGATCAAATAATTCTATACTTTTCATTGTACAGTGCTACTTAGTTCGATCGGTCAATGGGATAATAACCTAATAACAATTGTAGTCCAATATCTTTTATATTTTTAAATCCCACTTGGGTAGCAACACAATAGAATTTGCTGTGGTTTATTTTTAAGAATGTATGGTTTTATCAAAAGAAAAGTGCATTATTTTTCTATTGTTTTTAAAGAATGTACACTTGGCAAGCTATCAAAAACAAGTGAGACATAAATGGCCATTGACAGTTTTTGATAGTTTTCATTCCCTAAAAACAATATACAAAAATACATGTACCCTTCTCTTGTTACTGTGCATTCTTAAGAATAAAACAATTTATCAATTTTTGTTGCTATCTACATCTTATCTTACTTACAAATATTCTGCTGTATTCAAATTCAATGTTCTGGACTGGACAGTCACCTGTAGTGCACTGAAGCTAGACTAATTATAGCCCACTCAGTCACTTACATCAACTCACACTCATGAGGTCAATGCAACCAACTCTTTTTGTTGTTACAATTAATTGGCTATATAACAACAAATTTTAACCAATAAGAGTCAGGGTCATTGTGAGCCTGGTTAAAGTTTGCAAAATTCACGCGCAGTTTGAATAGTCAATACAAAAGAAATCACATTTTCCAGATTAAAGACCTTTTAACTGTAATATAATAGACCATTTACCTGTAATAAGAATGTGTGTGATTTAAGTAAAATAAAGCATTCGAATTCGATTTGATAAGAAATAATAACCTCAGGCCTTCGGCCTTCGGTGTATTATTTCTTATAAAATCTCATTCTTATGCTTAATCCAGTACATAAATATCAAGTATTCATGTATTCAAATAATAATCCTTTTTGGCTTTTGAACCAGAAATTTATAATATTCAACTACATGTATACTGTTATACACAGAAAGACGTCCTTGCCATTGCAAGAAATAGCATCTCCCACTTTTGGATATACAGTCAAGCCAAGTAAGTAAGTCAACGTTCGAAAATAAAAATCTCAAAAATCGTACATCTTTGATTTCCAAAATAATTTGTGAGGTGGTTATTTAGATGATAATACACATTTTAACGCACTAATTTTGAGTACATCTCGAATCAATTCTCAACAAAGCGTTCTCGAAATAAGTGTTCGAAATGTTTGAGTTCGGGATGATAAAAATACGTTAAGATATACCGCTCCTTAACAAACTCCTTCAGGAACAAGATATAGAATCAAATGCATATTCTTCCTATTTATTCCCTGACACATGCCAATAAATGTTGCATAAGTAAATATCTCCGTTTTAAAATTTTTTGAAAACGTTGTTCTCTACAGGTGCCATTTTTTATAATTGAAAAACAAAATTGAACAATTTGCATTTCTAAATTGATAAGTTTCTTGGAATACAACTTAACTGTAAACAATTTAAGTCATTAATAATATTTCCCTTAGTGAACCCATGATGAATAGACAGTAACTGGGTCAATGTTTTGTGTTCAACCATGTTTTCATGACTTCTAAACATGAGTCGACGATTATGTAGGAAATTTCATTTTCAAATGTAAGCGTGTCAACTCCTGTTTTTGCACAATATTTCGCCAAAATATGCATGTACCTCTCAATTAGGCGATATGTTTTTCAATTAATAGATGTAAACTATAAACTCAAACAAAAATTCAAACCACCCGCTCTATTATTTTGATTACACAAGACGAAATTTCCACTCCCGGGGAGCACTTTGGGATCACTTTGAAGGAGGATTCTTGAAAAATCGTTCGAATTTTCACAAAAGGTTTCATGTAATTTTATTGCTTTGTTTAAGCCTCGACTTATAGCATACTCAAATCCGATACCATAATTATAAATCAAAATGAAACATTAAATTCACCAGGTTAAATAATAAACCGTTTCGAGAATTGATGATTTGAGTTAATTGTGGATATTTATATAAATGTAAGTTGGC